TTTTAAATAATATAAACCATTTAAAAGAATAGTAATTGCTTGAGTCTTGCAATACTTCAACTCTAACTTTCTTTTCTCATATGCCAGTAATAAGTATTTTTATATGAACAATCTTTTATAAACAAGTAACTATCAATTATTAATTTCTAATGTTCTTTTTGTGATATAACAAGTTGACAAGGTTCATTTATATGTATTATAGCAATAATAAAGGTAAAGATAAAATTAAATTTAGAACAAACTTTGAAGGTATTAAATTTTTTTTTTAACATTATATAAAAATCATATAGTTATAAAAAAAAATGCCAATAACTTGTGTTCTACCAAACCAATTTGAATAATTCTACTACTATTAAAACTGGAATCACTTTTTCTATAATCTTTGTTAGCAACTCAAGAAAGGTTTACTTGATCTAAAAAAACTTTTGATTGTAAGCTAGCTGCATTCCAACCTATAAACACCTTTGATCCTCTTGAAATATTTTCTGCTAATTAAAATTTATTTACTTACCCTCTCTAAATGCATATTTACATTTGATTTCTAAAATATGCATTTATTGAGGTGTAATTGCATTAATTTTATAAATGCATACACACTCTAAATATATATTTATACCGGTTCCCAGAGCATCCACTTAGGGTGCGACTAAAGTTAACATTTCACTATATTTTATATCCGGATGAATCCAGATTTAAATTACTATATTTTAATATAATTTTATGGCATTATATCAATCTGGATATAAATATATCCGAATTGAAGCTAAAAGTTAAGCAAATTAATAATTAAGGCTCTAGCCTATAAGAATGTCGCTGTTTTATTAGACTAGATTACAATGTTTCACAACATTTTACATTGGTAATATATCGGAGGCAAATCCGATTTTTTACTGTTATACTAATAATCCTTTCAAGATGATAATGTTACCGAATGAATGCCTTTTAGAAATATTTAATAATTTTCAAAATAATCATAAAAGTTTATTTTCATGCCTTCTTGTAAATCGTCGATGGTGCAGAATTATTATACCAATATTATGGAGTGAACCTAATAATTATTTCAATGACAAAAGACTTATAAGAATATATCTTTTAGCATTAAATGAAGAAGAACAAGCGCAGTTGATTCCCTTTAAAATTGTTCTTCCAAATTATTCAAAGCCATTATTTGAATATGAAAAATATATTACATCTGTTAGTCCTTATTTGACTCAAGGAGTTTTAAATTGGCTTGAAGATAAGGGATATCTTCTCGAAAACTATAATGATGAACCTGCAAATACTATTAAATGCTCTTTAGTTACAATGTTTCTGCGAGCAAGTAAAAATCTTAAACATTTGTCACTTATTAATAATATTAATAATATTAATAAATCAATATCAACAATCGTACTTCATAAGAACACCACGCTGATTTCTTTAGATCTTAGTTCGAATAAACTTGGATTAGAAGGAGGAAAAGTAATAGCAGATGTACTTTGTAAAAACACCACGTTAACATTTTTAAAACTTTACAATAATAATCTTGGACCAAGAGGAGGAAAAGCATTAGCTGATGCACTTTGCAAGAATAATACACTGACAGTATTAGATCTTAGTAGGAATAACCTTGAATTAGACGGGGTAAAAGCATTAGCGGATGCACTTTGCAAAAATATCACGTTGATTTCTTTGTTTCTTCGTTGGAATGAACTTGGATCAGATGTCGGAAAAGCATTAGCGGATACACTTTGCAAGAATACCACGCTGAAAAATTTAAACCTTTGGAATAATAAACTTGGATCAGAAGGAGGAAAAGCATTAGCATATGCACTTTGCAAGAACACCACTCTAACTTCTTTGAATCTTTGGGATAATAATATTGGATCAGAGGGAGGAAAAGCATTAGCTGATGCACTTTGCAAGAATACCACGCTGACTTCTTTAACTCTTGCCGTTAATAAACTTGGAACAAAAGAAGGAAAAGCACTGGCAAATGCACTTTGCAAGAATACTACGTTAATGGTATTGGATATTCGTTATACTGAAATTGGTTTTAAAATAAAATCAAATAATTCAAATATTGAAATAATGCAATAAAACTTGTACCACTAAAATTCTATTGTATAAAAAATTCATGTAACAATATTCTAATAAAAGACAAATTTCTATCATGCTATATTTGTAGAAATGAATTTATTTTGCTTTGATTAAATTTAATCGGTTGTATTCTGCTTTGCTTTAGTGTAGTAGCATTAAAAACCCTTAGCGAAATTACATATGCGTTACACATATATCCTAGTAATGATAAGGTCCTTAAAGTTTTTTTTCTTCTTAATTTATATGTAATTGTAATTAAACGAAGTTGAAAAACATTTGGGAAAATATAGTTCGTTACAAACCAATAATGAAATAAAAGATAGATATCGAACGGTAACCACCACTGTAAGCAACAAGCGATACAACAAAATAAAGAATAGTATACTATGCAAGTGATTAGTGAAGTATGAAGCAACAAGGAAATCATTAAATAAAGAAGAGCAGACAATTAAGCTCCAATAAATAGTAAATCAATTATTTGACATAGAAAAAACGAGAGTATTACAATAACTAATTAAAATGTAAACAATATAGCAGTCAAAATATTATCTTATTTTTCAAATGGGCAATTTCTATTTGAATACTAGTGTGTAAAACACTGGTATATTGAAATCTCAAATAATCCAGCAGTTTTTGGAGCTCTAGCAAAAAACGTTTCTCGTAAAACTTTAGTATAAACTAACCTTACACTAACTTTAAATCAAATTTAAGTTTTTTTTATATTTGCAGTGACCTTTCGCCTTAGGCTTGATTACAGAAGACCTTATTTGGTTAGTTAGAGTACTTTTTTTATGGGTCATGTCTAGCCTTTGCACTATTCACATTTTGGCTTAGGGTTACTTTGCTCTCAGAAATAAATTGGTTAGAGCCATTTATATTCCACATTTCATAGAGTAAATAGTACCAATCATACCTATTTATATTATAAGTTGCATCAATAAGTGTAATTAGCTGTAATACTGAAGTTTTTTTAATTATGTAAAATATATAAAATGATGTTTTTAATTTTTTATTAAGAATACAAACATGTTTAATCTAATATTTTTGCTTTATTAAAATGATATTATATTTTAAATATTCACTTTTAAGTTAAAATTACTAATGAAATAAGTTTCCACCATCCTATAAACTTAATACTTAAGATAGATTTTTTATTATTTTAATTTATAAATACTTAATTTGAAACCTAACTTAGTTATTACAATTTTTTTATAACAGTAGTTATTATTGGAAACAAATAATTTTAATTACTTCATTCTTTATAAAGATTTAAGTTGGTTAGGAATGCTTAATATTATTAGCTTTTTTTAAAGAATAATTGTAACTTAAAAAATTTTTATAATAACACTTTATTTTTGTCATTTATAGTTAAATAAGCTAAGAATTTTTTGAGTTTATTCTATATAGCTCAGATGATCAAGTTTTTGTAACTCAATATTTTTTTATTGTAATGTTTTCTTTTTGTCAAATATTAGAACTTTTGATGTTTTATAAATTAACAAGTAAAAACCTTATAATTATTATTAATTATGTATTTATAGATGTTCTATCGTGTCTACATATTTGTTACTAAAGATCAACAGTTTTATCAAAATTTTCTATAAGGACCTTTAAAGGAAATTTAATATTAAAAAAAGATTTTGTTTATTATCAGAAATGAGATTTGTTTTTAATATAGATGTGACATAAGAATCTAAGTCTAATTTTTGTTCTTATTGCACTTAAGTTTTTTTTAAAAATGTAATTAAAAAATATATATATACAAACAAAAAAATTTATGATCTCAAAAAATCTATTAATGCAAAACAATATTATAAATTTAATATTTACCGATGCACAGTATTAAGATCAGTAAAAATATAGTATTTACTGTGATAAAACTGTTGTTCAGTTCTCATGATTAAGTAAAAATAAGAAAAAAAAACTGACAACAAAAAATTAAAAACTACTTAAAGTTTTGTTCAAGTTGTTTGCAGTCAACACAACAATACCAAGTTTTATATTCTCTGTTTTTTCCAAAAATGTTGCATTTTCACGGAATTTATAAAGCTTAAACATGGTACAGGAGAAACCATTGATGTTACAAGACCTGTCCTTCACTCGGTGTGCAACATCAACGGTCTCTTCTGTACAATCATGTTGAATATTCACGGAGTGTTCACCAACAATATGGGGAATAATAGAAATATATGGATAAACTTTTTTTCAGAGTTATAAAACGAACGATATAAAATTATTTACGGAACTTTTTTGTGCGTTCACTGTATTATCTACTATGAGTTCTAAATTGAATCTTTTTATGAATCATCAATCTTCTACGCACTGATTTTTAAGTTATGGACGGACCAGAATCTAATATACTTTTTCGCTTAAATTTATTACAATACGCACTTTTTCAATTCTAAAATATTATTATATTTAAAACTTTATATTTATTACTAATTTATGCCATATATAATTTTTATTAATTTTATTTGGTACAACTTATAACTCTTGAAAAAATAATTTAACTTACTATGCCAAGCTACTTTAAAAAAATATGATTGGTGTTATAGAATAGTTTTGTTTTGACCGAAATTTTGACCTAGCATGCAAGCAAGGATTTTAAAGATAATCTGGCCTACATTAAGACTTTTTAGAAACTTATAGAACCGATTAGGTTTTAGGTTTTCGATTTTGGTTGGAATCAATTCATTTACTAGACTTAAGTCAAGCTGATTTTACAGATTGGGCAAAAAGAAATAGCATTTAACCTTTAAATTCTCTTTGAACCTATTTTGTGCACGTTGCCAGAATTAACAACGTTGTATGATATTTAAATATTAAAACTATAATAATACATTAGTCGGTTATTTTTATGGTAATTTATTAAAGACATTAAAAAATAACAGTTCCATCAAGAATAAATCAAAAACTGCCCTTTATAATTGCCTAATATTATTTAACTGTTCTGCATATTTTGAAAATGTACTTTTGTGAGTTTGATAAAACTTGTTACCTTTTGATACAACTAGCAAATCTACCAAGGGTAAAAAGAATTCATACATAATCATACCATCCCTAGGGTTTTTTAAAAGTTTCAAAGGTTTTAATAAATCATTAAAATCATCTATTGTAAATACACAAGGAAAAGTTTTAAAGAATGGTTGAAGGGATAAGTGATCACGCTTTACATCTGTTGCTAAAAATATTATGGTAGGTAAACAAGATTCATGATTAGTTACATCATAATTTTTAAAATCGTGTTGAATTTTTCTGATAAGTTCTTGTACTGTTTTATTTTGATTTTCGACAAAGTAGCCATCTCCTAATCTTGCATGTACACCAACAAAACTATCAGGACCACCAATTTTGTCAACAATATTATTTACAATATTAATTATTATTGGATTGTTCGGTAACATTTTATTCTTTAAGTCTCTCCAAAATTTTTTACTTTCAGGTAACTGTATAACAATTCTAATTGATGAAAACACACTACCAAAGTGTAATAGTTTTTCGGATCTTTTACTTAGATCAATTAAATTCACACTTTCTTTGAATTTACCGAGAGCGGTTGTTGATTTAGGATTATCATAATATCGTTGTTGATATTGTGTTTGATCACTAGTAACATTATACACTTCATTATCGTCATGAATCTGAAGTGATTCCAGTAGGTGCTTAAGACTAAAATCTTGACGATGAATGTAATTTATGTGTTGTTTCAAAAATGTAAAGTCCATCAACTCTTCCCAATTGTACATAGTATAAGATACCGTTTTGCAGTTATTTTGATCTTCTCGAAAGCATAAAACAAAATTACAATCTTTTTTATATTCACTAAAACAGAATGTAAAATTATTTTTTTTAAAATCATTATTAGGTTGCATAAATTGTGTCAAAAGATTATATAGTTCATCATACGGCTGCGATATTATTGGGGCAACACCATTGAAAAATAGTATAGGTGGAATTATTAAAGTTCTGTTTAAGAACCATGCTAAGAATATTGCGTTTTCTAATTCAATTCTTTGATTATTGAAACCATCGTGGGGAAGGTAGGTTAAATATTTTTCTTGACAATCCGATGAATTATTAAATTTATTTAAGGGTTGTTCATGTCCAATAAAGTAAAAGGTCGTAAGTAAAATTATAAAAAGGAAGAAGATACTCGCATGTCTTCTGGGTTTAAAAATCGTATTGCTGAAGCTTGAGGTCATTATAATTCAAAGGCTTCGAATGTACAGTACATACGAGTGTGCGTATGTACTAAATACGTACAATTTCCACCACATTTATAAATAATGGAAATGGTGTTTGTTTATACAAACGTTGCATAGATCAACATCCCGCGATATGCGTACATGTCACATCTCTATTGTAATTAGAATAGAATGTTACGTAACAATTCGTTCATTTTAATAGCAATTGTATGTATGTAAAATTTCATGCAGAGCGTTACCTTGATGAAATTTTTAGCTGCTTTCAATTTTACTTTTTATGCGCAATATAATTTTTTGATTAATTTAATTTTCTTAAACTAACTATTGGATTTTTTTATTTTATTTTAATTTCAATCGACAAAGTTAGATAATTCGATTGGTACTTGTCACGCAAAAGTATAGATAAAAAAATAATAATAATAAATTATTATTTAACAAATTAAATCATACAAGTCTATAGTAAAAGTACGTATGCCTTAATAAATTTAGGCGCTTTGACCGTGCCAGGTTGCTGAAAATTGATGAGTGGCAAACAAGTGTATCGCCCCAATGTGAGATTTAGATTTACTTTATTTGTATTCATGCGTCATAATGTAAGACATTCAATTGCACGGGTAACTAATTTATACGCTTTAAAGTATTTTTTTTAAAAATGCAACGTTTCACTAATATAAAATCGAACGTTATTATTCACTGTGAAAAGAATTCAAAAAGATCTCATTTCTCATGAACTTTGCATAAAAGACAAAATATATCACCATCCATTGACCATGCGAAATTATACTTTAAAATAAGGATTCTGGGAATTTTTTCTATTTTATTATGCTAAATTTAGAGTAGTGATTGAAATGTTGCTCAACTTGTTTAAAGTTCATTGTGTGAAATGCGGGTTCTAAATTTTAACCAATCAGAGTAATTCGATGAAAAAAATGTCTACAATTCCAAAACTACAGGTTTTATTCATACTTGTTTGGTTTATTCAATTTCCGATCCATTGATTAAGTGCTTGAAAACGCTTTAAAATAATCTTTTATTGCCAATTATATAATTTAAATAGATACATGCAAGCTTTAATAGTAAAAAATCCAGGTTAATGGTTTAAAATTGGTCGTTTATCGTAGTATGTTTGTGTCTGTCAACTAAGTTTATTTTTTTCTAGTAGCATTACTAAACAATTACGTAGTTCTGTAGTTAGATCGATAAAAATTAACCAATCAGATGAATGTTTTCCTATGAAATCAAATCAAATGCCAAAGATTTTTAGATTGGAGAGCAAAGATTCTAGAAATTATGCGATTAATTTTACTGCGATCCTAACAAATCACGGTGAATCATAAAAGTTTATCAGTGCTTATTACATAATTACTGAGATTCTCATTTAATTTACAGCAGAGACAGTGCCCGATCCAAATGAATCCCTCTCGCCTGTGATCAATTACAAATTAAATTATTTATGTTGGATTTCTCACCAGTTTTAATATATGTACATTTAATTTTGATAATTTAAAATGATCGGAAATTTTTGTCGAAAAATTTTATCGATCACTACATCGGAATCTTGGCAAACAAAAAAAAAAAAAATCGAAAAAAAGATATTTTAAATTGGGTATCTAAACCATAATTATGAGTAGTATCGTATAAAATTAATTATTAAATTTTTTTTTTGCTAATGTCACCCCTCTAAATACAAAAAGTGCTCCGGAAGAGATGTAAGTATTAAGTAAATCTCTTTGTTGTATTAATTAAAGTTGTTTATTCTGACTGTGGTTCTTAAAATATTTAACCTAAATTTTTTAATATTTAAAAAAGAACTACCGGTCTGATTTTAATAATTTTACTTCCATTAGAACCAGAAAGATCTAATAAACTTTAATTAATGCCAAATATCACTTTTATGTATTTTGGGGGTGGCATTAGCAAAAATGGGGTGGAAATAGCAACACTATATTTTAATATATAGTAAAGAATAACATATTTCTATTGTAAAGAATGACTTACGTCTTTTTCGAAATCTAGAGCGAATTACTTTATAACGTTATGTAAAAATTTTTTTGTGCTCTAGTATTAAAATTTGACCTGCAACAAAAACTTTCAATAATACATAGTACGAAATAAGATAGTGATCAGGGTAATGATTAGATTATGGGCGTTCTAAAGCGCCTTAATCAATGGGACAAAAAGCGTCAGAGAATAAATTTTACTTAGCGGAAAATATTTTAAGGAGGCCAAATGTGTTTAACATCGTAATGAATATTTAAATAAACATTGTAATTTAATAAAGGTTATTATATTTTTTATTAATCAAAGGATAATACGTGAGTTTATCATTTCAATTTATAAACATTTTGTGGCAGACCACCTTTTTTTTATCCCTGGCTTGGCTTGGCAAAATTTACGATTAATTGTGTTTTCAATGAGATCGCACCAGCAAATTTATCAGTAACATTATCCATGCACGATTAATATCGCGATCCAATCACATCGAGGTTGATACTTGAGAACACCTTATTATAATAATAACTTCCATGTTTTGAGACGTTGAAGCGAATCTCTGCTTTTTTCCATTATTGTTTAAACCTATTCTTATACACGTTTGTAATATTATCGTTAACCCATTATACCCTGATCACTATCCTATTACCCTAATCACTATCCAGATCACTATCCAGATCACTATCCAGATCACTATCTAATCACTATCCTAATCACTATCCTAATCACTATCCTAATCACTATCCTAATCACTATCCTAATCACTATCCTAATCACTATCCTAACCACTATCCTAATCACTATCCTAATCACTATCCTAATCATTATCCTAATCATTAAATTCAAAATGACACTACATGTAGTTTTGACTTTCCGTAATTTCATCGGAAATTTTTGAAATCCGGATATAAATCAATAAGATACAATCAATCAGAAGGTATTTCACAAGGTAACAATTGAGATTGTAACTCAAACGATCGATCATAATCGATTAACGTTAATTGTTTGTAATCGATTATAATCGGGTTTAGTCAAAATTTCCGATATGATCGAATACCCCAAAGTTACATCATGATCACTATATAATTTTGTGCATGCTAGAACGGGACACACTAGACCTATTATCTATGGGCCTAAATTCATATTTACGATCAAATAAATTCAAAATTAAACTAACTTAAGAAGATCCTTAATATAAGTTCCCCTGCTAACCAACTTGTTCTGTCTGAAAAGATAACTATTTGTTTGTTTTTGATGCATGCTAAAATTCAGAAAAATCCTTTTTTTATTTAACGATTTCAGCAAATAGTGCGATATAGAAAATTAACTGCAAATAATAATTTGTACAATTTTTATGCTTGTATAAATTTACTATTGCAAATTACCCGAGCAATTGATTTCAATAAACTTATTTTCGGTTACCTGTTACATATTTCTAAATTTATTTGGTGTTTGGCTGTGATTTTGTGTATTACATGAGTAGCCACTTTGCTAATTTTATCCAAAAAGAAATTATTTATCGTTACCCATGCATTTTTGTACAGTACAGTATACTAATACTGTATATCTTGCATTTATAAACAAAAAAAAATTAAGGCTTGGCGTTAGCCCCCTAAATTTTATTTTGAAGTTAACAATTATCATTAATGCATCAAAAAAAAAAAGTACAGTAATTAATGAAGTTGTTTATTTTTAGATGACTTCATTTAAATTGCATGCATAATTTGTTCAACTATCTTCCAACGCTAATGTTAGATCATTCAAAGTTAACTCCTTGTCCCTGTCTCCTCCCTGAAAATGAACAACCAGTCAGATTTCTAATTAATTACATGATTTAGATCGACCAATTAAATTTGACCCTATGCTTCGTTTAAATTTACCACCTTCACTCAAATTCAAGTTAACCAACTAATTAGCTTCAAGCAGTTCAACTAAAATCTCTAGACTACAGTTTGACAACTTTTAATTAGAAGTTAATTCATTATAATGGATTCGTTATTCCACTTTATTTGTTCGTTTTACTTTCTTTCTATCCTCTCAACAGTTCTAAAAGTAATATTAACAAAAACTTTAACTACAAGCGGCCTTAGTAATAGTTTATGATATTAAATTCGGATCTTCGTTGTTTAGGCGTGGTCGCATATGATTATTGGAAATCTAAGTGCTACAAATATAACTAATTGTGAATAAACGAATATTATAGCAGTGTGTATGTACATTCAATTTAAAAAAATGATAAATGATCTTTTTGTTCAGAAAAGATTGCTCTTTGTAGTTTAGACTCCGTTTCTGGTCGATAAGTAATGCAATGATTAAATTTTTCCTGAAAATTTCCATCCTCATGTTTGACAATCAACAGGAAATTTTTTTGGCCGATTGTTATTTGGGTTTGTTAATTGATCCACTGATAGAAATCAATATGAATAGAAATCAATACTTATTGTATTGATTTCTGTGGATGTATATGAAATCGGTAGTTAGAAATAAATAGTTTCGATAACTATTTTAATCGTTATTAATTGTTGACCATTTACAAACAATAAATAACACTGTCAATTATAATCGATAGAATATTTAACAATTATAAATGCCACTATTAATTATTTTTAATCGATTAATTGTTGCAAGACTATTAAAGTGAAAAAATATATATTCATAATATTTATACTATTATAATATAAAAACAATTTATAATCATTTAGTATAAAAAATAAAAAAATAAAAAAATTTCAATATATCTAGTATAAAAATTAGATATAAAATATTTTGTATAAAAAAGCAAGTATATTTATATATAGTTATTTAATTTAGTTAAAATTTTTAAGATATACCAATTCTTAAGATATAAATTTGCATGCACTTTTTAGTATTTAATTATTTATATATAATACAAATAGTATATTTAGTAATGAAAAAAATTGTTTATTTAATAAACTAATTGCTTAAACAATTAAAAAATCTTATTAATAAATAGGAAAATTAATATTTTTATCAAGAGCGTTAAA